GTTCATTTACGACCCAGAAAGAATATATTGGTTTAGTTTAAATTCACATAGAAGTCATTTATGTAATCTACTTACATATTTCTAAATTCATAGAAACATTGCCAAACTTAGTACACTTTATATTTTTGAATCAACTAAAATGAAAACCTTTAATTAAACATCTCAAAAAATATAAAAAAATGGACTTGCACCACTTTCAAAATAAACAGTCCAATATTTCAAAATTTCAAATTACATAGTAATTCAAAACATATAACATTATCAAAATAAACTACCTATAATATTAGACAATATAATATTAAACAAATTATTGGAATGAATTAGATCACTTTATGAATTCACTACCATTCATTATAAAAAAATTTGTTGATTAATTAATTTAGAAGTAAATTATTTTGTAATATGACATTCATAAGAAATTTAATTAAATTGTTTGAAAAATGGTTTTTAAATTATTTTTATGTATATAAGCTACATTATTTTTACATAATATAATGTTTAAAATTCACATAACATGTCTTATATAACCATGCATGTAACAAGTAAAACAAATTGTGCATGAATGGAAGGAAGTCTTTTCTTGCAATGCAATGTTACTAAAGTTAGGAATTTTCATCCTAAAGTGTAATATTTTAATTTTTTAAAAATTCTTAAATTTTTATTTATCATCTTTTATTACTGAGCTGTAATTTGAAAAAATTGTAGATATATAAATTCCCACTGTCATCTGTCTGTCTGTCCATCTTTTTGTAGATAGATGAAAGCTGACACCAGATATGGAAAGATTATGGACAGGAGGCTCAATCTATTCTAATATTATAAAGCAGTAAAGTTTGTATANCCTTGTCTTGATTTTCATCTATTTAACTGTTATTCTGGAGAACAGTCTGGTTTGGAATGATTTTAATTCAAAATTTCCAGAAAATTTTGAATTGAAATCACTCTAAACCAGAAGTTTCTATATAGTTAATCAGTGTCTCTAGCCACTAAGATTTCCACATCTGATTTCAATTTCCATCTAACTAACTTTGTTCTTGAGATCAATGAAAAACAGTAATATGATGCAATTATTTTCTTCTTCTCCTGTTACTTTTTTAATTTTAATAAGTCTATAATTGTATATTTTTAATTAATGTCTTCATTTTTATGACTCTGTTCTAAAATAGGTTTAAAATTAGAACAAAAATATATACTGTACTATAACATTTACACATTAATAAAAGTAATATTTCTATATTAAAGAAAGTGTTTCAGTCAAGTTGTTGGGAAGGTAGAAAAGCATTTCTTTTGGGTGAAGCCATCCTTTAAAAAATTAGGAGATTAACTGAGAAATGAGAGATTAGTGAGGAGAACAAACAGAATACAAAGAACTGAGTAACCTAGAGAGAGTTAATAGAATTAGTTAGAGATAAAGATAATTTAGTCAAGATGCCGAGTGTGATTTCAACTTATCATTTTTATTTTTATATTTGTTTGACTTCACTTCTGTGTTGTAATTTAGTAGAACTGTTACACAAATTTAATTAAGGTAGAACTGACTAATTTTGCCTTCAAATCTAAGCAAGAGAATACTTAATAACTGCAATTATTCTTTGTTTTCCTTATTTTTTAGCACAGGATATATTGTTTTTTAAGTTGATTATTCTTAATCCTAAAATTAAAAAATGCATAAAATTACTTTATTTAGTATTTAATAGAATGTACTGAAAATTGTAAAATATAAAATAAACTAATTATTAAATTATTAATAAAAAAATTTTTTATTTTATATACTTGACAAAATCTTAAAATTATTTTAATATAATAATATTTAAAAGTATTATTAATGTAGTGTAAAAATAATTCACAAACAAACACTATTTAAAAAAAATAAAATAAAATAAAATTTTGTATCCACGTTTCTGATGATGACTGATTAAGATAGTCAAAAACATTAGTTTATTTATTAAATGAGCAATTAATGCTAGACTGCAATATTTTAGTTCTTGATGCACAATGCTGTTAATTTTAGTAGTGTCTTGCCCCTGTACATCATACTTTTTCTGTTAACAAGAGTTATGGCAGTCATCTACTTGACTCTGTTCTGGAGAAAATTTTTGAATTGAAATAATGTGATTTCTGGTTCAAACTGGAAGTTTGTAAATAGTTAATTGGGGCCTCCAGCTCCCGAGCTTTTTATTTCTGGTCTCAACTTTTATCTATCTAATTCTATTCTCAAGATTAAGGAAGACAGACAGACAGACACCAATGAGAATTTATAGGTATACAATTTTAAAATGGCAGCCCAATTAATTTTTGCTGCTAGATATTCTGATTTTTTTTATTTTTTTGCATCTAGTTTTAAGAGTTGTATATTAATTTATGCATCTATGTTATTTTAAAATTTTAAATTAGTATTTTTATTTTATTTTTGGAATCAATAAATTTTGTCAGGTCATTAAAACTGTAATACAAGAAGTGTTTACTTGTTATCAATTAAGAAACTCTGCTTGTTAGTATATTAGTAACAACTATTTTTAGTATTGTATAGCACTTTCTATCATTACAGAAAAACATCTGAGATACTACTTTTTATAACAGAAAATTAATTTTGGTCAATTTATATATATATATATATATATTTGATTAGACATATCAAATAAAAGTTAGCTACAAAAGTAATAGTTTAAAAACTATCTATATTATATACATTTTAAAAATTTGAAGTCTATTACAAGTTTATAAAATTGATTATGTATTCACTATAATTTTTATTATAATAGATAGGCAATTTATCAGATACTCATTCAAACAATAAAAACCTAAAATGTTCACATCTGCAAAAATAACAAATTCCTTTTTTCAAAAAGCATTTTTTTAATTTGTTTAAACAATATGTGAGAATATGGAAATTTAGGAGAGGGTCATTTTAATCAAAATAACAAGTTGAAGGAAAGATTAGAAAAAATAAGAGAAATTAATATTTTTCAACTTCAATGAAGTTTCTAAAAAAAAAAAAAAAAAAAACAGAAAAGCTTCCGATTTTGAAAGGAAGTTGATTTCCTTTCCCAGGCCAACTCATGATGAGTCGAGTTTTTGCACACGTTACTGGAGAGCAAATAAAAGGGACGATTTCCTGCCATTCGAGGCAGTCCATTGAAGAAAGGTATTACCATACAGAGAAATCCTATATACGATAAAGCAGTCCGTCGAAAAGAGGTTTGCCATACTGAAAAAGAAGCTCGCCATATGATAGAGGCAGTCCATCGAAGAAAGGTTGTCATACGATCTTGTCTTATGAAAGAGTACCACATTTGAAGTATACAAGAGATTTAAAAGAACTCTCCTAGAAAATATTAGAAGAGAAATAATCAAGAAAGGAAGAAGACCCTCAAATAGATATAGAAATAGATACGAAAGACCTAAAGAAGAAGGTAATATGAACTCTGATAGATTGTTGTAAACTCTCTCTCACGCATTAGGTTTAGAGATAATCTTAGGTTAAGAATTAGAATTAAGATTAGGTTTAGATTCATAAATTTTGTATAATTTTATATTTTGATTTGTTATATAAATATGGCTTCTTTAATATTAATGTTAGATATTCACAAATTTAGGGATAATGCGTGTTAATCCGCGTATAAAATAAAAGTGATTAACTGGTGTCGGGAATCCTGACGTAAGGAAAAGGTGATTACGTGATCATCAAATTCTGATTTAAATTAACATATTAGTTAAAGCCATTCTTTTAGACAAACAGAGGGCTATTCTAGAGAACAGTTGCTGATTAAGTGGTACAAGAGTCTTACCACTCCGTATCCACAGCTTAGCCCCTCACAATTTTGAATTTGTTTAAATAATAGCTAAAAGTAATTTGTTTTTAGTATTTTTTATTTGAGGCAAAATGAGATCACAAATAAAACTTTTTTACTCAATTACTCTACAAATGTTTCATTTACAATTTTTTTAAAGGATTTTCATTTTTCAAATAAAATAGCATTTTTCTCAAAAATAACCAATAGTTATAAACTTAGTGCTGCTTGTTGCTAAAGATTACTATTATGTTGCAAAGACTTCACTTCATTAATTGAATGAAACAAAAAACCCTATATTTCTATAAAAGTTCTAATGTTAGTAAAAATGTAATCTTTTTTTTATTACTAGAAACTGGTTAATGTTAACTTCTATTTACATAATTATAGTCTATAGAGATTTCTTTCCATAAATATCAACATATAGTTTTAGCTAAGGCAGAAGCCTACAGCTGTCGTCTTAGATGACTGTTATTTAGTCATTTTTCAAGAATAACACATTTTATTACTACTAATTTGTGTTTTATCAATATTTACATACATAAATAATCTTAATTTCTTAAGACATATTATTTTATGATGCATGCAAACATGAATATAATATATCCAAGAAAATTAATTAAAAAACATTTATTTTCAAATAGTTTCTAACTAGTAAGTGAATTTTATTAGAATCAAACCAATTTTTTAATGAAAGACTTTATAAATACATATAAATTTAAAAATTGTCTGAATGCCAATAAGCAGAATAGTAATTGAATTCAGAGCACTCATTTCTTTTAATTTTTCTGAAATGAAAATTGAGCAAACAGTAAAATTCATAGATGCTGATCAAACAACAACAAAATGAAAATTCTGAACAGAGAGCATTACACAAATTTCCTATAAATAATTTTAAAATTAAGTAATTAGTCATAAATTCAAAGATTTTACAGTTGAAAAACTAAACTGATACTCTAAGATTGACATTTGTAACTAAAAGTACAATGTCTCAAATTTGCTTTTGTGAAAGAGTTTCTAACAGTTACAAATATATTTTAAATATATCACTTTAAAAGTTAAATAATATTTTCAAAAACTGATTTCATAAAATCAAAATCAAAATATTTACTAATTTAAAATAAAAGTTTACAACATAAAAGAATATAAATTTATTAATGACCTAATAATGTACATAAATCAGATGTTAAATAAGAATGAAAAACTGACCTTGGAGTATCTGTATTTTGTGTTCTTTCAGTTGAGCATGCTTTATTTTCTGAATAATTATACGTATTCCTTCGTGGTATACTACTAAATGTTCCTTTTGTACCACTAGATGAAATAGTTGAGGAAGTGCTTCCAGTTGGTTTACGACCAGAACCAATAACTTTTGATGGACTACTACCACTGGTTGGAGTAGAACCTAAAATGAACAAATGATATTTAAATTTAGTGAATTAATTAATTAATGATGTTAACATAAATATAAAGTATTGTAATTTCTTGCAGACAACCTGCAACAAAAATTATATGCTTTTGCAAGGTCTATGTTACTGATACATATATATATATATATATCAGTATACAACAATTATAAAAAATGAATTCGATTAGAACAGGCGACGAAAGAGAATAGAAAAACACTACCGTTTGGACAAAACGCCACAAAGAATTTTATCAGTTTATCTCGAGAATAGATTGTGGCATCATCATCATCATCATCAGAACTACGTTTTTCTTATTATAATATTATTCTAAATAATTAATTACTTTAAGAAACTTCGAATAAATAACTGTAGGAGAAACTGA